CTAAATATGATAGAAGAGGCAAAGGAAGAGAGGCTTGTTGCAGGTAAAAATAAGACAGGTAGGAGAAGTGTGGTGGCAACAGTGGTGTTGGCGTGGCGATGTATCGGTAGTGATGGTGGCTGAAGTGATAGTGGCAGTTACAGCTCTTAAAGAAATGTTTATACAAATGGTGGTTGCCGTGTTGGTGAGGGTGGTTGCCGTGTTGGTGATGTTGGTTGCAGAGAAGATGGTAAAGCAACTATGGTATTAGTTAAGCTGATGCTAGTAAATACAGCTTTTGTAAGAAAACACTGAAAGTGACGAATATAGAGTTGGCGGCTTTTGTGATGGCAGGAGCAGAGGTGAGGGAGATGGAAAGAAAGGCACATCAGTTATTGTTGACATGTGCGCTGGTTGTCGGGAGAGTAATTAGACTAATATTAATAAAACTGAAGATTTATTTGCCTCAACAAAAGGAAAAAACAAGAAAAGCAAAGCAAAATTGAGAATGTCTCACAAAAAAAAAAAAAAAAAAAAAAATGTCATTACTAACAAAATTTCACTACTTTTATTGAGAATGCAATATTATCCAAGTGTTAACCCTTTGCCCATTGGGCTTACCAATAACTTATGGATGTTCCTCATAGATCTTCAGCAACCGATTTGTTGTCCCTTACCAATTCTGTTATGGCTGCATACTAAGAATAATAAGATGTCTCACTATATGGCAATGGTTAATGAGCTAGTCTAGTTCATTTTCTACATTTGATCCTCACTAGGTAATGAGCACTTTTGGCCATGTTTCAGACGGGAATCTCAATGTCTGTCTATATTTCTGAGATGAGGTATTATGTACATTATTTACATTATTCGGACTATTGTCCTCATCTTTGTCACCATATTTATCACAACGTTTCGGCCATTGTACGCTCCGGTGGTTGGAATTTCGAACTGAACCCTTTATTTCGCTCACTGGGGTAATGTGCCATGTTTGATGGATGTCAGTTATCAGTTATCTCCTGTTAATTTCCCTCTGAAAGTTCTCCACTGCCTTAACCGGGTATTGAACTTTGGGTCCTGTCAATGGATCTAACCAATGCCTTTATTCCCTGTGCCATGTGTCCTTGAGGATATCTGGGTATGAATTTCTGGTTATTATAAACCTAATGTCTTCAGCAACCATTTTTACCAGTGCTCATATTGCAATTTTGCTGTTATCATTGCATGTTTTTTTTACCAGAACTCATATTGTAACTTTGTTGTTATCATTGCTTTTCTCTGGCACTCCTTATTACTGGTTCCCATATTGTATTTATTTCTATGCTTCCAACCACCTGAAGAAGGCCGGAGCGTACAATGGCCGAAACATTGTGATAAATATGGTGACAAAGATGAGGACAATAGTCCGAATAATGTAAATAAAGTGGGAATCTCAATATATACTCTAAGTCAGGGGTCAGCACCTTTTGTTAACTATGTGCCGACTTAGGGTTTTAAAATCATTCAGTGTGTATTTTTATATAAGTCAAGGCCAATATACCTCCGATGCCTCAGTTATTTCCCTTTGACTCCACGATTTGATTCACCACAGCTGTGTCCTGGTATTGAACTCACATCTCTTTGGGTCTAGTCACTGGATCTAACCAACGTCTTTATCCGCTGGGCCATGTGACATCCAGAAGAGGTGTGGCACATGGAACTAGAACAATCTACTTCGGTGGACGAAATAAAGGGTTCAGTTTGAAATTCTAATCAACTGAAGAAGGGCGGAGCATACAATGGCCAAAATATTGTGAATATGGCAACGATGATGAGGATAACAGTCTGGATAATGTAAATGACTATTGTACTGTTCTTGTTATTGGTTTGGCTTGGTTTAACAGCATATCAACTCCTTATAGGTCATGTAATATAGTCTATCGTCATACCCTGATCTATTTATCATGATTATATTGTTGTTGTTATTATTGCATGATAACGCATCATGCTGACAAATTAACGCAGGAATATACAAAGCTAATGATACCCATTATGGCACCCAATCTAATAAGTGTGTGGTTCCCCTCTGGATTTAATAACTAGTAGCTTTTATAACTCTTTGTTTTAATTAACTCCCACTAAACTAAGATGCACTATTTAACCCATTAGTACATTGTGTCTCTTGAGAGGCTTCCTAAAATTTAAAATCTGCCAGTCCTAAGATTACCATTAGCCAAAAAGGTAGAGTTGACAAAACATGGCTGAAATTTAAGGAAAATTCATGCAGTGATGGGTAAATTTCATCATTATTATTGACTATATGGCCACATGGATGAGTCGTTAGAACATTTGCTTTCCAGTCATGAGACCTGGGTTTGAATCTCACCATGATTGATCGACCCAAGCCTTGTGAGTGAAATTGGATACGTAGAACTATTTGGACATCGTCGGTGGTTGTGAAGGCACAAGTCTATGGGACTGAAGGTTTTTAGCATACTGGTCTTGTTCAGACCAGTCATCACACCAGATAATGTGCAGGCATATCTTCTAAATTTATTTATCTTCTCTGGAATATAAATTTATAGAAACTATCATGGCCACAAAGTGCAGGATCAGTTTATATTTTGATTGTAATATAGAATTGATCCCCCACTTTATAATTTCTTGCTTATCAAATTCTGATTAGGTATGAATCCACCTCTTCTACCCCAGCTATGGGTTAATTAATAAAACTTGTATCACTGAATGATTATTATCTCAAAAAAATCATACAATCTAAAAATATTTTCTAGTTATGCAGAGGTTTGATACCTCATGGAAAACGACTCAATCAATCAAGCTTAGATTTTGAAAGAATTGTCAGGTTAGAGGTGATGTTAAATTTCTTATACAAATCAATGTTTTTGAGCAGCAGCAGAACAGAATGACCAGAGTTCACTGCTAGTGTCTACATTGTCTGTCATCCGCACACAAAGTCGTCCATCAAATGCACACACACATACACACACAGAGCTGCCATTTTCAAGTCAGCAGCAATTAACGCTTTTAAGTTCTTTAATCTTTTTTCCTTTTGTGTAAAGTACATTGTTTTTCTCCATTGTTGCCAAGAAGTAATATTTTGCAGCTTAAATTTTCAGTTAGTGAGGTTCACACAAGAAAGTCACCTGCAAGTTAGTAGAAATCTCAGATTCTTGCACCTCCTTAGTCTTTTGAACAGGAGTAGAGGTTTATCCCCTTGTTTCCTTGTTGGGATAGGATTTCTGGTTCATTCTAAAGTCTTTTTCATTCTCTTTCCTTCTCAGCAGCCTCTTGTGTCTTAGTGGCCTTGCTTGGGGTGAATTGATTAAAAAAAAAAAAAATATAACCACCACTAGATGACTAGGTGAAGTTGTACAATTGATATTGCAATCTAAATTATTTCAAATTTTTTTCTTTTTTTTTCCATTTTACAGTGGATTAAGCACTTCAGGTCACAAATAAGAATTTTTTTTTAATTAAATTTATAAAAGTTAAAAAGGGAGTTCAGTTTGCTAGATAAATTCATTGTAAATTGATCCCCCCCCCTTTATATAGCAAATTGAACTCCTCTATTAACTTTTATAATATTAATAAAAAAAAAATTTTTCCCAATATTTGTGATCGGGAGTACTTAATATATAGTAAGATAAGAAAAAAAAATTACCAGAAAAATGATTCTTTCTGGTCACAGTGGTTATTGTACAACTTCACCGATGACTCGATCTTAATTGGGCATTGTCCAGGTGTGGCTGTCAGAATTGACTGCGTGAAGTTGACATGAAGCAGTTACATCTTCATTAGACACCGGCCAGTGACAACGAAGAGTTCATAATTTGAGTTCTGCATAAAGTAGAGATTGGATGTCTGTCTGTTCCCAAAATTGAAAGAGGTGCAGAACGATCAGAATTTTTTCATCCAATATATCCTTCTTTGAGGACCATACTTCTCCGAACATTGTGGACTGGCACCAGAGAATTACAAAGACATGTACCAAACAGAAGAAAAACTTAAAGACTTTCAACAACGGCAACAACTAAAATGGATAGCACTTGTAACTAAAATAAAGTAAAAGAGAAAATATTGACATAATGAAGATGTTGATGTTCCATGCCACTTCAAATATAAGATTTAGAAAAGAAGCCCCCATTAATACTGGAAAGGGCAATAACAGTGGACTTGAGAAACCTATTTGCCTGAAAATTTGTTTGAAGAGAAAGAATTTATGAATTTTGATTTTTGGACTGCTCAGTCAATGAATACTGAATGTTTCCTTATAAAGAAATGGCTAATATTACCATTAACACCATTGTCGTCATGTTTTTAACTGGTCCATAAATGGACCAGAATCTTTCTTCATGGATAAAGCAATAAATGTGGACTATGTTGAAAAATAAAATTATAATTTTGCAGAAAAATAGATTTACTTTATTTTGATATAAGTTTAATTATTTGATCTCATTTTATAGGATTACAGACCCCACCTAGAAATTATCCATGCAGATATACAAAGGGATGCTGAAAAGTTCTGGATAGCCCACTTCCCAAAATCTGACCAAATATCAGTAACTGTTTGTTTATTTTTTTTTTTGTTACAATTACTTCTTGGTTGTACTAAGAACTTTTCGGCACCAACACACACATTCATAAAATACATGCTCAGAGGTAATCAATAGGTTAATATTTTGACGTTTATTAATAAATTATTATAAAACTTCTTTTCTTCATTGAATATTGATTCTCAGTAATCATCTTTTGGGAAGTTAGCTTCCTTCATTACATGCCTAAATCATCTGACACACCATGCTCTCTCTCATATATATATATATATATATATATATATATATATATATAATTGGTATATACGGAATGAATTCCAATAACCAACAATTACTATTCTTAAAAGAGTGCTCAATACAAAATATATATATATATATATATATATATAAATCAGTACATGCCAAGCAAGGCAGGAATGCAACCAGTATGCAGGGGGTTACAGGGAGTGAAAGTAAGAGTAAAAAATGAGTATAGGAAGGATTGAAGAAAGGATAAAAGATAAACAGGATTCGTGAAGATAGAAGATGGCGATTGGTGTTGCATTTGTAGTTTTGAAGATTTTAGTTATCAGGGAAGCAAGTAAATGGAAGGGAGTTCTACAGGCAGGAAGTGTTAGAAAAGCAAATGTTGGAATAGAAGTGGCTGTTACATTTAGCTATTTAAACAGTAAATGGATGTGTTGTGTGTGTGTTGGAGGGGCTTCTAATTTGCTATATTCATGGAGGAAGATATGGGAGATTAAGCATTTATCAATGGGGCAATGTTGATAGACAAATCAACATTGACAGTTACCATGCTGTCTTTATTCAATGTTTAAACTAATATATATATATATATATATATATATATATATATA